AATACCGATCGTACTTTACACATTGATATAACGTTCTTTACACTGTAAATATGCGAAAGATGCGAAACAATGAGCCGTATCGAATAAAAGCAGGTGTTCTTTCTAAAGAATAATTAATGTGGCATATGCGATCGATAAGCGGCGTATTGTATCGCAGAACGAATATACGATTATTAAAAGCTCCAAACTACCAACAACGAATTTTGCAATTGTAATGATGATTAACGTTTCGTGGAATTTTCAACATTGCTGAAATACTGTTATAACCCAGTTGATTTGCTCGCTGACCAGTGCAACCACGTGCGCTAAAATAAATTTGATCACACCGATTCAATCGCGTAACTTATTTAACATAAATTTGAGATAACCTTTTTATGCATATATTTTGTTTATTAAATAAGAAAGCTATTGATCGCATCCTTAAAATAGACATTTATGTATTTATATAAAATTAGTAGTCAATGAAATATTTAACGAATCTAATATCGAAGGATATTTTATGTAACAATTTTATTTTATATGGCTTAATTACTATTCAAGATATTTATGAAATAATTTTTAGACAAATAGTAAATAAAAAGTGCTAGTGCGGTTATCCTTTCGTTTAACGTTCTTTTTCGAACTCTTCGAATATTGAGCCTGCGAGAGTTAATCTCATGACCGAATTTTACGATATCTAATCGTAACAACACGCTTTATATATATAAGTAATTAAATTTTAAATAAAAAACAAAAGTTTTGCCTTAATATGCTTGCATTCTATTTTCTTTTGGTCAGATTTTAAAGCGATTTATTTATCGTCCTTGCAATAAGGACACATGTTTATCTTGCTTGTCTTTGCTTATGTCTATGCATGCGCTTTCATAACAACATTTATAACATATTTTTATCAACGTAAAATTAACTTTTATTTCTTTTCTAATTTAAGAGTTAAAAAAAGATAAATAGTTAATATAATATTAAGCTTTATGCCCGCTTCTATCAATGTAGGTTAACTTTAATCTCGATTCAACAAATTCTTTATCTTTTTTTAATTCTAAAAATTAGAAGAAGATAAAGAGAAAGTTGAATTGAGATTAAAGTTAATCTACACTAATAAAAACGGGCATTAGACATTGTTATCGCATGATAAACTGTATTAGATCACGTTAAGAATAAATAAACACGCTTTAAAGTCTAACCGAAAGGAAATACAACGCAAGCATATTAAGATAAAATTTTTTCTTTTCATTTTAAATTTGATTATTTATAGATATAAACTGTACAATACATTGTAAAGAAAAAAAAATTATTGTTTAAGATTTAAAAAAGAATAAAAAATAGTAAATGCTATTTATGATGAAAAAGAAGAGCAAGAATCATACATGTATAAATGATCCGGAATTAGTACATTTCACGTAGCTATTATAGTTCTCTTATTCTATATTTATCATTAGATAATAATTTGTCTTATTCGTTGTCAATTGATGACAATCTGTGAATTGAGTCTAAGTCAATCCTAAGAGATCTCTCGTAATTATCTCTCGTAATTATCTCCTTCAATGAATTCGATTTAATACACTAGAGCTCAATTAGACTTTGTCCAAAGAGATTCAAATGACCGCGGCTCTGAGATTCGGGACAACCACAAGGGTCAATTGCATAATCTGACATTGTAGCAGGCATGCTTGATTCATCTGCCTACTCGTATTGCGATGTCATTCTTTGAGAAAGACACCGGAACGACAGACTCTAATTTCGTTAAACGCCGTAAACATTCTCCGTTCGAGAAAATTATTCGCTTAAACTGGTCTTCGTTGGTCTAATTGATCACGAACGGATTGTTGAGAAGTTTAATTGCAGGTTCGCTATTCTGAGACTTCCCGCGAGGAAATGCGAGAAATTGAATTTTATAGAATGCCTTAGGGTTAACTGTATTTTCTGTACCTTTGGTACTGCGTGATCATAAAAAAAAAACGGAAGAACGATAGTAGAACGATAGTAGTCGGGTGAACTTCTAATTACGGGTATTACGTGTACAATTACAGTAATTCGTTGTGAATGAACGTGTACTGCATGTGACACCAGTGACACCAAACAATCATGATATTAGTAACGCTTATCTTTGTGACAACACGTTTTCTTAATAGAAAGATTCGTAGAAGCGTTGCGTATAATCAATCAACATGCATGTTAATTTTTTAAATAAAATCGAAGACATTTTTCGGCGAATAACGGAAACGTTCATTTAAATTAGGCAGACTCTGACAATCAATGTTAATTTAGGGATATTCATATTTGTAAAATGTAAAACAACATTATAAAATAAATCGATATATTTGTAGCAGCCATTTTTCTTCAAAATATAAAAATCATGCATCATTTTAGTAATTATCATAATTTTTATACACACGATAATAATCGAAAATTGTTATTTTTACCATAAAGACGTATTACATTTATCTCACCGTAATAATCATCTCGATTAAACTTATCCTCTACTCGCGCAGTCGCGTAATATTTGCACGTCTCTTGCAGTTTCATGTTTAATATATAATTTTCGTAGAAGACACACGTGTGTCTGTACAGTTGAGTTTCGCAGATTACATGACAGTTGAATCTGTAGTATATTACTTCTCATGTAAGAAGCTTGACTGTAATTGAGATTCCGGGATACAAGTCTCGATACAAGTCATGAAT